CACCCTCAGAGCTCCTGGTGGAGCCTCCACAGCTGGCCACCTCCCTAGGCCACACCCTCAGAGCTCCTGGTGGAGCCTCCACAGCTGGCCACCTCTGTACATCACACCCTCAGAGCTCCTGGTGGAGCCTCCACAGCTGGCCACCTCTGTACATCACACCCTCAGCGCTCCTTGTGGCAGTAGGAGATGAACTCAGTGATTTGAGCTGCAAATCCCTACACTGACCTCCTTAAGTTGACCTAATTTTCATAGACCACACACACACTACATGTGTGAATCAGTACAACAGGCCAAGTTTCTTACTTAGGTTGACCAGTTTGTTGCAGTCTCTTGGGTGCTCAACTTACAGCATGCCCTTAATGCTATAGGGCCCCACCCCCTTTTTGTACTATGCCTCATCTGCCAGTCAGGAATGGTGCCTCAGTGACATCCTCTGTGCCTTTTGTAAGCCTGGACTCTCTCACCCAGGCTGCCCTTGGACTCAGGGGTTGCCTGGGTGGTGTAGACAGTTTCAGGTATGTGCAGCCCACTCCAGTGTCCCTCTCCCTGCCCTGCAGAGCTGTTCACAGAGTGTTATAGCAGTGACGAGGACTTGGCAGAGCAGCTGCTGGTCTATTCCTGTGAAGCTTGGGGTGGGAGCAACTGCCTAGAGCTGGCGGTGGAGGCGACAGACAGGCACTTCATCGCCCAGCCTGGGGTCCAGGTAAGTGATATTCTGCCACCGAAGACCATCCCCCCCAATGGGCGTTTCCATGTCAGATGCTACTGACAGTGTTTAAAAGGTATTAAGAAGAACCTTCTGCTCCAATAGGAAAGTCATGATAGGGGTAGTTGGGTGGCCATAGCGGAGATGGTAGTATAGAGGCACTGGAAGAAAAGTTTGCTCTAGGGACAGTGCAGGAGAAAGAATATTCTTGACGTTTCCACAAACCAAACAGTATAGCATTGTAATTATGAGCCAGGTCTCTGGGTCTCACTGCCTGGGTTTTAGCCACTGTGCTCCTAAGTGATGAGGGGCCCAGTTACCAAGCTCTCTGAGCCTTAGTTTGCTCATTTGTGAAATGGAGATAGTATCTCATCAAATCCTCAGAAGAGGATCACTGTGAAGATTTGATGAGTTAATATGTGAGAGGTGCCGTCACCACTTCAGTAGTTAGTAACAGTAATAGCAACAGGGAAATTATTGTGACGTGCCTGAAATCAGTCTAGAAGTTCCCCGCGCTGAATTCAATGAGCAGCTGTTTGCACCTGCTGTCCCAGCTGTGGGGGGCCCTTTCTCCAAAGGCTGTAGAAATGTGGGGGTGTATGTGGGGAACACAGACGTGGACGGACTGGCGCTTGTCAGCCTCACTTGTGGTACCTGTGGTCGTGTTTCATCTTCACAGCACCTGCAGGCGTGTCGTCCGTTTCACTTATGAGGACCTAGGAGCTCAGAGAGGTTCTGGAATGTTCTTCCAGCTTGTACTGTTAGGAAGAAGCAGTGTTGGGATTTGACCCCATGTCGATTGTCTACCTTGCTGATGATCCATTATGCCCATTATTTCATCAGCCAATAAGCAGCAAAGTGTTTATGAACAAAATCCATTTGTTGCTGCTGCTGCTAAGCTATGTTGAATGAGCCTGGGGATCTGTGACAAGGACCCCCAAAGAGCCACAGCTGCTGTCTGAGCCTGTGCTGTGTGTGGCAGGTACGCCAGAGGCCGGCCAGCTGCCAAGGCAGGCCACACGCTGCTCATGACTTCTTAGGCCTCAAACCTCCACCTTGCAGGTGTCTCAGATCTTTGGGTTTTGGGGAACCTGACTCCTGCTCCTGCCCAAGTTCACAAGTCTTGTTTTATTCAGATGCTAGGTCCTTAATGTTCACCTAAAATTCACATAATCATGTTCACTGCCAGCCTGTGGGACCAGCTCGCCAGACCAGAGATCCTGTAGTCAGGACTAGAAGTTGCTGGTGATATGGAACCCAGCGTGATGCTGTTGATTTGTGTGACAGTGCCATGCAGCACTGGCCTGGTGGGGATGGGGGTCGGGGGAGACAGGACAAGAAGGAGACCACAAAGCGGGGATTCAAATGCAAGGAGGCAGAGGGGAGGCCAATGAGCCAGGGATGGGGAAGGAGCAGATACGGAAGTTTCCACTGTGGGCAACTTGGGCTCAACCTCACCAGGGATCTCTAGGAACCTGCTCCAGCATTGCCCATCTGAGTGCAAGGAAGCTGGCTGTCTAGCCGCCAGCTGCAATTTGCTGCCTGATGAAGGCTGCTCCTAGTGGTCCAGCTTGTCCTTTGAGGGCCAAGCACATTCCAGTCTGTGGTAGCCTCAGGCAGACAGAGGCGTGAGCCAGAGGGAGTGGCCACCATCCTCCTCCACGGAAGGGCAGGGCCCTGTCTGTGGGCAGGACATGCCAAACTCAGCCCTGTCAACCAGAGCTGAAAGGTCCAGGCTTTCCCTTTTCTCTGCTCCCAAAATACCTCAACTCCCTTCTGCTTGACGGGTACTTTCTTGAAAGCTGAGTTCCTCTGCTGTGGTCAGGTCTGCGCTCACCCCTTTAGCTCTTAGAGATGATGTGAGTTTTCTAATTTCCACCTTCATGGGAAGCCCCTCCTGTTCCAGCCTCAGGGATGGGTACAGTCCGGAAGCTTTCTCAGGCATTCCCACTGGAAGTGACATTAAGAAGCCACTGCCTCTCCCTTCCTGACTTCCTTTCAGTTTTCCGACAGAAGCATCACCTGTCGGCCTCCGGAATGAGTCCTTGGGGATTCTGCAGGGAGCATTGCAGAGAAAGGAGCTAGAAAGATAATTGTTTAGCCTTACGTAACAAAAACTACAGTTGGTTAAACATTCATAGGTTCCTGGAATTTGGACTCACACAACCTCTGTTTTAAAGTCCACGTAACCCAATTCAGGAAAAGACTTGAAATCAAGTAGCATTTTAAATTGTCTTATCATAGCCCCCTAGACTCCATGGAAATCTTATATAAGAATAAGGCCCTTAATTCAGAGCTACATATTTTTGGGAAGGTGTGGGCCTGGAGAGAGTTTGCGTAGTGTCCTGCACATAATTGTATTAATAAGGATCTATGGTTGTTTTTTTTTGCTTGTTTGTTTGTTTGTCTCTGTTTCCCTGTAGAATTTTCTTTCCAAGCAATGGTATGGAGAGATTTCCCGGGACACCAAGAACTGGAAGATTATTCTGTGTCTGTTTATTATACCCCTGGTGGGCTGTGGCTTTGTATCATTCAGGTGTGTGTACACAAGCTGGAGTGTGTGTGCAGCCATGTGAGTGCGTGTGTACAAGCTGGAGTATATGTGCAGCCGTGTGTGAGTGCATGTGTACAAGCTGGAGTGTGTGCAGCCATGTGAGTGC